GGTTCAGTAGTTCTGTTGCCGGGGTGCATGTATATAAAAACAGTTCAATGAATAACTTTGCAGTTTGAGCTGTTGATATCATAGAGACCTTACTATAAGTATAACAGTATTCTAGTAAAGTTTGATAGTCATGTGATAGCTGTATAAAAGCTAAGCAAGTACTTTTGATGTTTTGATATCATTGTATAGTTGAAATAGAATAGATAAGTGGATCTGCATATTAGTATATATGGGAATATTAATTTTCAACCATACTTGGCTTATTTTCACTCTGATTTATTAAATACTGGGTATTACTGTATATGCCTGCTAAACCCTGCTTACTGTATTAAAGTACAGTAGTTGGTGGTATTATTTGATCAATACTGCTTTATGGCATTACATAGAATGTAGTAAATTAAAAATATGATAACATTTCAGATAATCAGGCTTACATACTTGTATGTTGATGTCAGTTGCAATAATGCCAAACTCATAGAATATATAGTGAGTATTGTGAGTCTAAAGAATTTTGATCGACAGTATTTGTGTTTTACTGATGTGAAACTGTGCCGATTTTTATTGCAAAATAGGGCGAGTTTAGGCGAGTTAAGCAAAATTCTGTCAACTTATCATTGCGAGATAAGGCGAGATTGGGTGAGTTAAGCAAAATTCGATCAATTTCTATTGCGGCGAGATAGGGCGAAATAAGGCGAGTTAGGGCGAGTTAAGGTCCCAGAGTAGGCCTCATGGGAATACAACAATGATTGGGATTCAAACCAGGTTTTCGATTAGTTCCAACTGTTCTACATCTCTCTGCAGCAAAAAGTAAGGAGTTTTGCTTTTGCATTTTGAAAAAATATATGACGAAAGTTTGGACGTGCCGAAGGAAAACTCGCTCTTCAACTCAATAAAATATACTATAAAACATTTTGACAGTCCCAAAACTTATGTTGTACTAAACCCCAGGTATTGTTATTGATCCTGAGGTTTTAGTCCTTGTTTTAGTCGCTCTTAAACATAAATAAATTGGTGTTTTTCAAGTGATGCTATTTTCGCCATCGCTCTTCTTGTTGGCCACTATGAGCACTTTGAATATGGCAATATTTTTGTCAATTTTCAAATGCTTTTTTTTTCGACCTTAAAACGTTCAATCTTCTTGAAACTTCGCATACAGATGTATTTTGCATGGGTTTGAATAATTCCTGAGGTATGACATCTTAGTTTTATCTTAAACTTCCAGCCTAAAACGCGCGGTTTTTCTGACCGTTCATGCTTGTGGTCGTGTTTTTCGCATTTTCTTGCTAATTCGTGATTTGTTTGCTTTGCGAATATTAAATTCATTTATCATACTACTGATATAAATTATATTTGGTAGTATAACTAATATTTTGGGGCAAAATTTTTCTGATCAAAAAATGTGCATATTTTAAAAAAAAAATTTTTAAAAGGAATGAATTCTAAAAACAAACACCAAATTTGCCAAAACTACTCGTGTTATGAAGTCTTTTAAGCTCACAATTCTAGGCATTTCCAACTTAGAAGTGTTTGCTTTGGAATAAGAACGTGAAAGTAGAAATAAAAACTTTGTTGCAGCAGTTTAATTTCGCCGTACAAATATACCTGTTTTATATGTATCTTTTTCGAAGTGAGATATACAAGTGCAACTTGACCTTCTTTAAATTTGTACTTGCCCTATTTTTGACTCCATAAAAACTACTTTTATCCATGGAGAAACTATTTGACTTTAAAAATAAGGTTGAATTTTTGTGGTGATATAGGCTAGTTTCTATGCAAATAGTGATTCAGTACTCGGTAGTGTACTTGTTGTATATGAACAAAAGTCTAAAATGAGTTCAACATCCATCAACAAAACGAAGTCGCGCTTATTACTACTGTTTAGAAGATAGACAATTAATTTAATTCACTAGGAACCCGTTCTACAATATAAACTGGAAATCGTCCAACAAATTGTCACGAAATAATACAATGAAAATAGGGTCTCTGAACTACCGATTTCACCGAACGGTCTAGTTTTCTGCAAAGATCGCCCCTTTGCCCAATTTTCATCGAGTAGATCGTCGTGTTATCAAGGCAAGGATTATATACTTTAACATAAAAGAGTAAAAAAACTGGTGATAAAGGGTAGATTTTGAATAAAATACGAATATCTGTATACAAGATCTGAGCGTTATTATCAAGCACTCGATACTTTCTCCAACAACATTTGCGCTTAATTTTTTACAAAATTAAAAATATTCACACATTAAAGATATGAAAATGTAACTTGCATTACAAAGAAATGTTGGCTTACCTGAGGCCCCATTTACACAATACCGGATTGTATCGGAGCGTCGCGATTTTCATACCGGATTCGGCTGCTGTTTACGAGAAGCCAGACAGCTCCAGTTTCAGATTCGCAGCTCCAGTTTCAGATTGAATCTGGAGCCAGAGGCATGGCGTTCGTGTTCGAATGGCTCTAACTCCACAAAGCCTTCACCCATCCTAACAATAATTTTTTTCATTCTTCGTCAAGAAAAGGACTATCATATAACGCAATCACCGAGTCGCTACTGCTTCTAGATTGCTCTAAACAGCTTGCATAAGCCAAGTCGCCAAACCGTGTCGGGTCAATTAAATCTTGAGCAAGACACGGTTAGTTCCTATCTAAATCGCTGTATCGTCGTAAGGAATGAATGTAACGCTATAATAATTTTTTTCATTCTTCACTGATAATTTCCACATCACCTAAAGCATTCGGCTTGTCTGTAGCGCTATTAGTTTTCTCTGGAGGCCTCGCATAAGTTATGTCACCGAACAGCGACATATTGATGGAGACTGCAAACACGCGTGCCGCTTGGCGATTTAAAACGCTCGTTCTCCGCCACAAGTTACTTTATCGTCATGATATTTTTTTTCATTTTTTACCCATAATATTCGAATCATATGAGATTATTTTTAAGCTTATACCGATTTAAACTTTGACTGAACAGCTTGCACAAGACAAGTCGTCGAACAGCCACATATTGACACTTACCGCAGTCAGTCGACAAGCCAGCATACTAAAAACGCTCTATCTCAGTCAAAAATTAATATATCCTTTAAATATTATTTTTCATTCTTCCCTGATAAATTACACATTATCTAAAAAAATCAGCTTGTCTTTAGCGCTTTTAGTTTTCTCTGGAGGCCTCGCATAAGTTATGTAATCGCTCCGCGACATATTGATGGAGACTGCAAACACGCGTGCCGCTTAGCGATTCAAAACGCTCATTCTCCGCCACAAGTTTCTTTATCGTCATAATATTTTTTTTCATTCTTTACCCATAATATTCGCATCATATGAAATTATTTTTAAGCTTATACCGATTTAAACTTTGACTGAACAGCTTGCACAAGACGACTCGTCGAACCGCCACATATTGACACTTACCGCAGGGCAGTCGACAAGCCAGCATACTGAAAACGCTCTATCTCAGCCAAAAATTATCATATCCTTTAAATATTATTTTTCATTCTTCCCTGATAAATTACACATTATTTAAAAGAATCAGCTTGTCTTTAGCGCTTTTAGTTTACTCTGTAGGCCTCGCATAAGTTAGGTATGCTATTGTAATGGACCAACCCCCCGTAAGCGGGATTTCCCCTTTGTTTACTACAGCTCGAACTATGTAATTGATACATATAAATGTGTTTTATAATATTACTTAAATGCAAACAAATTAATAAGAATTGGTATAATATTTTATAGTTGGGTTCCAATGGGTGTTTGTATATTGTGAGTAATGAGTAACGGATTCTCTTATACTTACATTAGAAAAATAAACCATGATAACATTGACAGTGGTTCTACTCACTCGCTGCCGTGAATAATTATAATGCTGTGACCTGGTGTAAGACGATGAAATAGAAAAATAAGTGCGAGATAAAGCACGATATTGAAGGAGTCGTACGATTGATCAAATTATGCAATCTCGTACGAGGGCTCTTTTCACTACGCTACTCGCTGATCCAGGTCGGTAACGTGCTTCCAAGATTTTGGGAGATAATAATTGGGACTTGTAGGGGGCAGTGGCGTAGCCAAAATTATTATCATTATTCATTTCTTTACAAAGTGTTTTCACGGTCAATGAGCACGAAAATATTTGCAGGGCAGGACTCATTCTCGTACCCAGAGCCCTTCCTATGCGCGGTCAGCGACGAGAGGCTCTGGCAAAATCCAAACCGGATACCATAAAAACATGGTATCCGTTTAAACACTGCGCATGCTCAATTTGTAATTAGGAGAATTGAATGCATGAAGAATTAAAAATAACATTTCGAAATATTATAGTAAAATTTATAACATAGCATTTGTAAATTCTGAACTCTGATTGGCTAATACCTATGTTGATATAACTCAATATCAACACGGAAACGCCTGAAAATTTCTTTCTTTATATTTCTCTCTTTATATTTCTTTGTCCTACATTATAAAATAAATATAAAACATTCTTTTCCGTAATGATATACAGTTATATCAACACTCGTGGAAATTGGGAAAACTCGAAATTGTGTTTTTTTTCTATATGCATGTCATTCCTATATCTTCTATGATCCGTTCCACAATGGATAATAAAATAAATGGATAGGAAACTAGTTGACGTGATCTAATGTTTTCAATGGGCTGATGATGTGGTTGGATGTTGATGATAAATATGACTACGCCATTCTACGATGAAATCTCTAAGTATTCCCACTTCCCAGTCAGTTTAGGCAAATATTTCAAGCGGCTAAACAGTGAAAAATGCATCGTAAATTTCGTTAAATTTGGGGACGCCAATTTCGTAGCTACAAATGTAAAAAAAGAAACAAAACAAAGACGAAAAACATTTACCTTGAATACTTTGTCATGGCTTAGGCATGTTTTTAAAACAATTAGACCAGTTCATGCTTCAATATTACTCTTTTAAAGCGGAAAGTATAGTGAAACAACAAAAATGCCGAGAACTTTGCAATACGCGTGAAGTCACAGATTGTAACCAGGTTGTTTTTGCTTACGTCAGCTAGAGTCCTATCCATTTATTTTATTATCCATGGTTCCACTAATGATTACATTTTACCGCAAATTACAAGAGACTCGCTGTTGGCTTGTCCTTGAGTATACTAGCGCTTTTCCCAACATGAAACTGAAAGGCTTCAGTGTTTTATATGGCAAAGAATGGATATAAAAAGTTCTATTTGCTTTATTGACAGATTGTTTGGAGCCATCATCACATTTTGCAACACAAGCTCTTGCTATTTATTAAAATTACATGCATTTGTTAAAATACACACCCTCTGAACTTTATCGAAATGATATCGGCATCTTGATCGGCAGCTAAATTGGTAAAACAAACTTATCCCACCACCCTTATGTAAAATTTTTGTTATCTCCCAAAATCTGTGAGACACGTATTGTAAACACCCGGGGTCTTTCCGAGTCCAGCGAACAGCGCAGTAGAAAGAACCTGGGTACGATGTTGAAAATTATAACTTAATGTCAAGAAAGTGATAGCACTTAATTTTGGGCGCGCATTAGGGGGCGCGCATTAGGGGGGGACGCATTAGGGCATTTAGGGGGCTTTTAGGAGGGGGCTTTCAGGAGAGGGCTTTCAGGAGGGGACTTTCAGGAGGGGTCTTTCAGGAGGGGGCTTTCAAGAGGGGGAGGTCAGTTTTGTTTTAGACTATCAATACGGGGGAGCATGCACCAGAACAATCTATTTTTCACCGCTCCTATTATGCTACTTTGTTTTCCACTAGGCGGAATGTTTCTTTGTCTTGTGATTTCCCGAGTGGAACTAATTTTAAAATTAGAAAATACAAAGAAAAATTACGCTCAGCGCACAAAATTCCGTCTACTGGAAAACGACCTTAACCCCCTCCCCTCAACAATTTATTGAATGTGCTCCCCTGAACGAGTTAAAAGGTTGAATCAACATTTTAAATTTACTTGTTAGATGCCACAAGGCATCGATATCATCCTTTTATTCCTTTACCAGACACAAAATATAATTATATTTAGCGCAGAAAAAAATCATTCACCTTTATGTATTATATGATATTCTCAACCAAATATATCTGTTCCAGTCTAAATTGTGCAACCTGTGTCGTAGAAACGTAGCGGAATTAAACAAACCGATAATTCATATTTAAAATCTTATTTTACGTTTTTTTTCCAGGTGCCTTGACAGTCTGTTTCGAGCATTGACATGCCCAATTACATAGTTCGAGCTGTAGTAAACAAAGGGGAAATCCCGCTTACGGGGGGTTGGTCCATTACAATAGCATACCTAACTTATGCGAGGCCTACAGAGTAAACTAAAAGCGCTAAAGACAAGCTGATTCTTTTAAATAATGTGTAATTTATCAGGGAAGAATGAAAAATAATATTTAAAGGATATGATAATTTTTGGCTGAGATAGAGCGTTTTCAGTATGCTGGCTTGTCGACTGCCCTGCGGTAAGTGTCAATATGTGGTGGTTCGACGACTCGTCTTGTGCAAGCTGTTCAGTCAAAGTTTAAATCGGTATAAGCTTAAAAATAATTTCATATGATGCGAATATTATGGGTAAAGAATGAAAAAAAATATTATGACGATAAAGAAACTTGTGGCGGAGAATGAGCGTTTTGAATCGCTAAGCGGCACGCGTGTTTGCAGTCTCCATCAATATGTCGCGGAGCGATTACATAACTTATGCGAGGCCTCCAGAGAAAACTAAAAGCGCTAAAGACAAGCTGATTTTTTTAGATAATGTGTAATTTATCAGGGAAGAATGAAAAATAATATTTAAAGAATATATTAATTTTTGACTGAGATAGAGCGTTTTTAGTATGCTGGCTTGTCGACTGACTGCGGTAAGTGTCAATATGTGGCTGTTCGACGACTTGTCTTGTGCAAGCTGTTCAGTCAAAGTTTAAATCGGTATAAGCTTAAAAATAATCTCATATGATTCGAATATTATGGGTAAAGAATGAAAAAAAATATCATGACGATAAAGTAACTTGTGGCGGAGAACGAGCGTTTTAAATCGCCAAGCGGCACGCGTGTTTGCAGTCTCCATCAATATGTCGCTGTTCGGTGACATAACTTATGCGAGGCCTCCAGAGAAAACTAATAGCGCTACAGACAAGCCGAATGTTTTAGGTGATGTGGAAGTTATCAGTGAAGAATGAAAAAAATTATTCTAGCGTTACATTCATTCCTTACGACGATACAGCGATTTAGATAGGAACTAACCGTGTCTTGCTCAAGATTTAATTGACCCGACACGGTTTGGCGACGTGGCTTATGCAAGCTGTTTAGAGCAATCTAGAAGCAGTAGCGACTCAGTGATTGCGTTATATGATAGTCCTTTTCTTGGCGAAGAATGAAAAAAATTATTGTTAGGATGGGTGAAGGCTTTGTGGAGTTAGAGCCATTCGAACACGAACGCCATGCCTCTGGCTCCAGATTCAATCTGAAACTGGAGCTGCGAATCTGAAACTGGAGCTGTCTGGCTTCTCGTC